CAGAGAAAAGATATACACTCCCTGCGCGGGCTTTCCTGCCCCAAGCTTTTAGCTCGTGAGTGCGAAACACTCCAAGAATCTCAAGATGTTATAAATCTCAGGATGTCCCGTGACCCATGTGATGTTCATTTTACTAAGGAAATAAAGTAAAACAATAAAAATAAAAGTACACCGAGCAGCTGGAGGAGAGAGGTAATTCGAGGTCATTGCTACACTTTGTCAATTAGTGTGTGAGTCACTCAGAGGGAAGGTATAACAGGAGCCTCAGAGGGAGAGTTTACTCTAAAATGCCGCACAAAAGGAGAAGGCAGGGGGTTTCTCTGAGCAGCCGGCTAATGCCCCCAGACAGCGGAGGGCCAGCTCCGAGTCTGAGCCCCCGCCCGCCCGCGCCACCCCCCCACCCCCGCCCGCGCCACCCCCCCACCCCCGCCCCCTGGGCCACTCGGCCCACAGCCTTTCTGCATCCCCTCCAGCTGCTTCATGCCACAACACCGAGATGTTACAGCCCATAAAGCTTACAATGCTTACTAGCTGGCCCTTCACAGATAAAGTTTGCTGACTTGGGCTCGAGAGAACAGGCCTGGAAGTTGAGTGCGCTTTAAATATCGGGGTAACTTAAGGATAGATTGGAAAATGTAAGAGCCAACAATAATAAGCGTAACATCTTTCACTTGAAAGCCCCTATCTTCTCTAATGGTTTCAAGCATATTCTTGGAGTTTGCCTAGAACAAGTAGGTTATAATCTGATCAAACAGAGCAGTGGCCCTTGAGGGTCCAGATGCCGAGACTGGGGGAGGGGGAAGGGGTCCTCATTGAAGGACAACCCAAGGGCGTGGGTGTCTTTGAAGGGTTCTTATACTAGTACTAGAGGCCCGATGCATGAAATTTGTGCAAGAGTAGGCCTTCCTTCCCCTGGCTGCCGGCAGGCACCCAGGACCTGGGCTTCCCTCTGGCCCCGGCTCCGTCTGGAAGGATGTCTGTAATGACGTCTGGTCTAATTAGCATATTACCCTTTTATTATTATAGATTCTCTTGGGATCTTGTATTATATGTAGCTGATGGTTTAAAATTCAAGGATTTATTAGGTTAGTGTTAAGTGTAATCCTTAGTTTTACACAACTCAACCATTAGCTAAAAAGCACATCAGAGGCCAAAGAAGGACTTGGAATAGAAAAAATATGCAGAAGATGTGACCAGAAGCTGCTCCATGGAGAGATCATGCCTGAGAGGGAAGCCAAGAATAAGCAGAACCAGGAGATTGTGGGAGACAGCGAGAGAGGAGAGGAGAGGCAGAGGGAGGAGAAGAGGGAGGGAGGGGTACAGACAGAAACAACATGATTTGGGCTTAGAACCAAATTTGCCTAAAGCAGTGGTCGGCAAACTGCAGCTCTCGAGCCACATGCGGCTCTTTGGCCCCTTGAGTGTGGCTCTTCCACAAAATACCACGTGCGGGCGCGCATGTACAGTGCGATTGGCCTAAAGGAATCTCCTGGTGTTTTCATGTACATTGGCCAATAAATTCTATTTGCCTTTAACTAGTGTGACTTGGGTTTCTGTCACTCAAAACTGAAAGGGTTCTGGCTGATCCACTGAGGACATTTCCTTCCTGATAAAAACCCAACCTTTCCTAACAGATACTTCCTTCCAACTGGAGACACGAGCAACGGTGCAGGACTCAAAGCAGTGTCTCCCATCAGACTAGCTGCAGAGCCAGGCAGGGCCAACCCCACACGGTGCCCCATTTAAGTCCAGTCTCAGGGACCCCAGGATGGGCCTCTCACTATGTTTGCATAGGATGCTTCCGAGTTTTGTTAAGAAAGTTGTCCTTTTATAAGGACGAGGCTGGAAAAGACTTTTCTTAGCAGCATGCGTGCTACTGGCTTTCCAGAGATTTGTCAAAAATGCCACTGGTTGAGGTTTTGTTCTTTGTCGTGCTCTACCTCATCCACACACTTTGGGGCCAAGCTCAAACGCCAATGAATTAGGTGCATCAGGTTTCTTTTTATTCAAACACGTTCTCTTCTTTTCATTCCCAAGATACATGCCTCTGCCTGCAGGGCTTAAAAAAAAACAACCTGCTGAAGAGTTGCCCTGCGCTGTTTATATATTAGATAAACAGCGTTCTCCTTCCGGGGCTTTCCCTATAGAAACAGCCCCGGGTGCAGATTCCCGGCCGCTGACTCACCAGTTGTGCAGCTCAGCAAAGGCGGCCTTGATCTTCTTCACCGAGCTGTCCACCTCCTCCTTGATCATGACGCGGTACCTGGTTAGAGACACGGTGCAGCGTTGCAAGTCCTTCACCGACTTCTCAATATTTGGGCCTAAAATGAATGTCAAGAAAAAAAAATGTTTGTTTTTTTAATTTGAGCACTTTATCTTTGTGAGCTGAACAATAACAACAAAATCGAACTAACGTACCACCAACACCACCCCCCACCAACGAAAAGATATTTTTTTTGTTTTTCAATGAAAAAAAATTAAAAAGTTCTGCGAAGAGGTTGTTTGTAACCTGGGGATTTAAAAACCGAGAGTGGGTGGTTTGTAGGGAGACTGCTGAGAGTCCACTAGTGGGTCCTCTGACTGGGCCATTCTGGGCACACGTGTCTCCTCGGCTCTTCGGAAATGCCCTGATCATGTATGTTCCATTACACATGGCAGTTTCTTGGAGTGGGATGTGTCTAGAGCAGTGGTTCTCAACCTTCCTAATGCCGCGACCCTTTAATACAGTCCCTCATGTTGTGGTGACCCCCAATTTCATTGTTACAAATTGAACATAATTAAAGCATAGTGATTAATCACAAAAACAATATGTAATTATATATGTGTTTTCCGATGGTCTTAGGCGACCCCTGTGAAAGGGTCGTTCGACCCCCAAAGGGGTTGCGACCCACAGGTTGAGAACCGCTGGTCTAGAGACTGTGCCGCTGTCAGGTTCCGATTCTCATTGTGAACACCGCTCTGCGCTCTGCGCGGTTACCGCCTGCGGGCTGTTCAGGAGGAAATGAAGTCTCAGAGGTTGGGAGAGGTACAAACAGCGAGAGAGGCCAGAGCGGCGGTGCCAGGCACGCTGGCCCGGGCCTCATCAGTGCGGGCCAGGCCTGTAATTACAGCAGCACTTAAGCGGCTCTGTGGGTGCCAATCTTGCCCGATTTCCTGAAACCGTCACCAGGGCTGACAGATAGTGCAAAACAAACTGGCAAATTGTACGTATCCCAACAAGGGCATGTTTCTTGGAAGAAAGCAATCTCCCTCAAGAAAAGTGAGAAAGCACATCAAACCAAAGCCAAGGAAATCAGATAGAACTGAGGCTGGATGAGAAGAATATTATTTA